CTTGCAACAGTGCCATATGTGTCATTTACATGTACCCGTGATCTGCTCTGTTTTTTTCAAAGAAAATGGAAGTATTCTAGTAAAGTGAATGATTCACTCCAATTCTTCATTCTTCTCTGTAGTATCTACTTCTCTTTTTTATTAACTGAGGGATAATTCACATGTAACATTATGTTAATTTCAGTTGTACAACATAATGATTGATGTATGTATATATTGTGAAATGATCACAGTAAGTCTAGTTAACATCCATCACCACACAGTCACAAATTGTTTTTCTTTTGATGAGAATCTTTAAGATCTATTCTCTTAGCAACTTTCAAATATACAGTATAGTTTTATTAACCGTAGTCACCATGCTGTACATTATATCCCCAGGACTTAATTATTTTATAACTGGCAGTTTGTACTTGTATCCACATATTTGTCATGACTTCATGATAAGCAGAGTACATTTCCCCTCCTTTTGGATGTGCTTTGGCAAATAGCATCTAGGTAGAAATTGACATTGTACCAGCTTTGAACTTGGGTCTTAAGAGGCCTTGTATATTTCTGCTTACTCTTGTACTTCTCCTATCTCCATGAGAAGAATATCTGCTTGATCAAGGAGGACGAGAGACATCTGGAGCAAGGTCCTACCAGGCAACCTGCAGAACTGCAGTGGGAAGCAGAGCTACCAAACTCAGCCTAGCCTAGAGCACCTGAACCTGGTCAAACTGCAGGTCGACAAGAATAAATAATTGTTTTTAAGCACTGAGTTTCTTGGCATCATGTGCCACAATTTTCAAGTGTATTGTTTTAATCTAGGCTGCCATTGAATTTCAAAACTTACTCTGTTCATTTGCTAGTATGTTGGCTAATCCATTCTTAGCAATGTAGCCTAGTTATATGATAACATTATCTAATACATAAAGGAAACATTGGGTTTGTCCTGACTGTTGATGAGTGACCAAGGATTAAAGCATGTAAAGCTATGCTCCTGTGTCACTTCTCTTTCTGACCCTAAATTTGATAACATTTAGAGATCCCTCAAATTAAGGTTTTAGACTTAGTAAATAAAAATATAAGATGCCCAGTTAAATTTGAATTTCGGATAAGCAATGTATAATGTTTTGGTATAAGTATGTCCAAATATTGCATGGGACACACTTATACTAAATATCTTTTCATTGTTTATTTGAGATTCAAATTTAAGGGAGTGTCCTGTATTTTATATGGCAACCCTACTTCAAATACCCTATTAGAATGTGTTTTCATACAGTTACAGAGTACATTAGATTGTAATGCTTTATCTATTTATTGATCAAATAATTACCAACTATGGCTTCTTTTACCTGTTTTGTATGAGGAACTGCTAAGCAAAGTTAAATATATAAACTAGCAGGAGACCCACATAAGTCACAAAAAATCTATATGAAGAAAAAATAGAGGGTGCTGTGTCTTTGAACAAATAGATATAATCTCTGTCTTCTATAGTCTCTTAGCCCAGGACATAGACAGTTGGCAAATAAATATGTTTATATTAGGTGAATTGGCAGTGGTAGAAGTTAACTTTAAAAAAAGATTCTTTCCTTATTAGTATATAATAGCGTATTTCCTATGAAGACTTAGAAATCCAGATTAACAAAAGAAAAATAAAGTACATCCTACTACTCAGAGATAGAAGTAAAATTTTGAGGAAAACATAATATTTAGTGATTTTATTTATCTCCTTGTCTGGATTCAGGATGACCTAGCATTACTAGCTTTACTAGTTTAAAAAGCTTTCTTAGATACTTCCTGCTCAGATGTTTAATTTTCATTTTATTCCCTGAGGCCTACCTCTTCCAATTTTTTTCATGAACTCAGATAAGCTTTAAAAGAATGGGGACAGTATCTGCCTTTCATGTACCCAGCAATATGTTTACCATTTGGGTTTCAAAAGCAATAGCACTTTTTTTGACAAAACAGATTACCTCTTGGTACTTACTGTACTTTCCAATTTTCCGCCTCCGTCTTTAGGAGTACAGAGGTTCTGTTTATTTGGCAGTCTATTTTGTTACCTTGTCATTGACACTAAGACAGAAACTACATTTCTCTTAAAGCGATGGTTTGTAATCTTTTTTTCCCTTAGGCCATGGATCCTTATAAGAACTCCATCTCACCAGAAAAATGTACACAGATACATAAAATTGCCAACCATTAGTGGGGATCTGTCTATCCTTGCCCTCATAAGATCATGGGCCCCTTACTAAGAATATCTGTTATTCAGAGGTTGAAGTGATTTGAAATTAACTGACTAGACATCATTAATCATATCCTTTTCAGTATCTGTGCTACCAATGATGTACTCCCTCAAGAGTATACTGTTTTTTTCTTTTTTTTTAAAGACTTTTTTTTTTGCTGGGAAATATTTGCTCTGAGCTAACATCTGTTGCCAATCTTCCTCTTTTCTTTCTTTTCTCCCCAAAGCCCCAGTACATAGTTGTATATTCTAGTTGTAAGTCCTTCTAGTTTTTCTATGTGAGCCGCTGCCAAAGCCTGGCTACTGACAAATGAGTGGTGTGGTTCTGTGCCTGGGAACTGAACCTGGGCTACTGAAGCTGCCTGCGCAGAACTTTAACCACTAGGCCATCAGGGCTGGCTTGATATACTAAGTTTTTGTTTTGAGTATGTGTACTATTCTAATTGTGTTCTGCAACTTATGAGTATAATCGTTTTGTCATATTTGATGATATATTCTAACTTTATACTCTGCAAATGGTTTATCATGAGTATACATTCATACATACTGCACAATACTATAATCTATTACACAATCTTATTCTATATATATTACACAATATAATATTTGAGAGTGTGCTGTTTGCCAGGCACTATTAGAGATTGGTGGTTTTAAAAAATAGCCTGGCATATTTGGGACAGTGAAATTCAGTGTGGCTGAGGTGTACATTAAAATATGAAGCTTCAGTGGAGAGAATGTTAATGTTGTGAAGAATCATACTGACTTGGAATTAATTCTACATTCCATTCCATTTGAAAACCCTAATGATCTTTAAGTGAAGAGTGGCTTAGTACAGAATGCGGGTACACTTTTTAAAAGATTGCTTTAAATAGTTATACACATAACACATATTCATTGTAATTTAATTAGAAGACAGATATGCAAGACTAAAAAATAACCCTCTACAATTCCATTACTATTAAGACTTGTACATTTTAGATTTTTTGGTAGGTGTATCTTTATTTTTTCTAAACCAGGTTCATCCAATATATTATGAAAATTTGTCCCTGTAGTGCTTTATGTGTCTATTGCACAATTAACATAAATAACCTGGCATATCAAAAGCTTTAAAAAAGTTCAGTAGACTACTTCACCTGATAAAACCAGCCTTTAATGGGCAGGGGCTTGTGTGTACTACCCTAACAATTGTTCTATAAAAGCCTGCAGATTAGGAACTGATGAACCTGAAGTTCCTGCCTACTTTCTTCTACTTTGTTCTGTGATGTTGCTATTTGCCTGAAATAACATGTCTGTAACCTGGTACTTGTGCATATTACTGCTTATCTGTTTCAGACAAGCATAGACATGCATTCGTTTTTCTCTAGAAGAGAGGGGATAACAGTCAACTCTCTAGCAGAAATTACAAAAAACAATTGTGATTGTGTTGACATTAGAGGTGGCCCTCAATGTATTGGGAACTTGAAGTATTTTTTCTTAAAACAGGCTTTAGAGCGTGGTTGGGTTCCCAAGCTGTTTGTTCCTTCAAATGAATGAATGTTCTTTCATCTGTTCCCTCTTATTATTGAGCATTAGGCTGTATTTTTAAAAAGTAGGGATACAAAAATGAAAAGACAGGGCTTTTCCCAGTAAGAAATATGAAATCAAGTGGTGACACTATCATGCAAACAAATGATTATAACATAATTCATGAAATGGTGTGCCAGAGCCATGAACAAAATAAAATGAGAGTAGATAAAGGTGTTTCTAAATTCCCATTGGAGAGGGGAATGTAAGGAAAAGGGTGCTTTAAGTAGATTCTTTGGTTAATAATATAGCTGACCTATGTGTGGGAATATTAAGGTACTTAATTCTCCTGTAAAACAATGTTTCCATGCTAAACGTCTTTATTTCTAAGCCTAGCTACTGAGTCTGGAATATACCTCTTCACTGATTCCGCTCACAATGGACAAGACCGCCATATTTTTTTCCCTTCATTTTCCTGTGGTTTGATGCTGTGCGACAAGCTCTCTCGTAAGAGGATGTGTTTGGAGCTTTAAGAGCACTGGTCCTTTTGAAAGGGAGCAGTACTGTGGCAGTGAGACTCTGGGTGGTTTGTAAAGAGGAAGTGTTTTAAAGTTGAACTGCAATTAAATTCTCTTCTCCTTGCTGCCATATAGTTGAGTGTATGTAATACGGTGTGCCATTTACTTAGAGCTTTAAGCTGGTCATAATAAAAACTAATATAGAAGAATACTATATGTTTTGAAATATGCAGCATGCTCTCTAAAACTCAAAGTTATTTCCTGAACTATTCCTTTTCCAATTTGTATGGTATCTTCTTTACGGTCTGCTTCCAAGGATGTCCAATTGCTACAATGTAACTTGGCTGTCTTTGGGGCTTTAATGTTGATTTCCATGGACTTTCCCCAGCTAAACTGCATATCTTATTTATCACTCTTAGGATTGGTATAAGACTTTTCCCATTTATTTTTATTACTGATTTAGAAGAAACTGGTTTCTGAAATATGAATGTCTTGGGTTTTAAAAAATTTACTAGTTTTATTTTAAATATTCGAATGCTCCTAAAAGTAAGATAGGTAGCTAAAGTTAAACAGCAACCTCACTGTTTACAAGGCTTCCAAGAGGCTAATTTATAACTGAGGAGAGCTGTGAGTGAAGTTTATTGGTATCAGTTTGTTCCATTAATCAGACACTAATGAGTTTTGGAGACTATCATAATTGGTCAGCAAATTTCCTACCATGTAACTAAAATATTTCCTGTTAACCACCAGATCCTAGAACCCTATCGATATTGTCTCTGCTGTGTAAATCGCTCTGAGTAGTGCAATATTGCTTATAGGGTTTTGGTGTTTGGGAAGAACAATGAGGAGGCTGCAGAAACTATGTAGCTGAAACTGAAGCAACAGTCATCTTTGTTTAGTAAGAAAACAAATAGTTTTCAATATAAACGTTAAAATCTGAAACAAATGTCAAATTTTAATATATTAGAAGGGCACACTTTTCTAAATTTTACCATTTTGATAAATTAAACTTAGGTTTATTTGTAGTATAATGAAATAACAGACTTTTAGTGTTGAAAGAAACCTTAGATTTCCAACTTTTATGTAATGGGAGGGACTCAGCTAGATGGAGGACTTCCCTAAGGCCACATAGCTGGTTAGTGGTACCAGGGCTGGAACTTCTATCATGTCTCTCAATCCTTTTATTTTCTTTTTTCTGTACCATATTACCAGGTTGTATTCAGAGAGGATTTTTAATGGACTAACTTCAGTGATATTAGATTTAAAACTTAAAAAAAAAAACCTTTAAATTTAATTCTAGGTAGAATCTTTACATTTTCTCCCCATCTTTGTAAATCTTATTGGCTTTAATATCATGAATAACTTTGCTCTAACTACATTAAAAAACAGAAATGAAAATAGAACCAGAGGCAAGTCACTTAGACTGTTTCTTCATTTATAAAACGAAGGGTTCAGATCACAGAATCTTGATTGTTTGTCTACTTCTCAGCATTGCATTGGCATCCTTTTTCATCCCCTGCTTATTCCTTAGCCCACTGACTTCACTAATGAGTAAATACTTATGTATTATCACAAAATGTGCTGTTCAGTTCTTCCTAGAGGATAACATTCTACTCTTGAGCGGTTTTTTCTGTCTTTGTTTGTTTTTCCTTTAAAAATTTTTAATTGTGGTAAAAAACACATATCAAATTTACCATTTTAGCCATTTTACGTGTACAGTTTAATGGTATTAATCACATGCACATTGTTGTACAACCATCACCACCGTCTGTCTCTAGAACTTTTTCATCTTTCCAAATGGAAACTGCACCCATTAAACATAACTCCCCATTCTCCCTTCCCCACAATGCCTAGCAACCACCATTCTACTTTCTGTCTATATGACCATGATTATTCTATGTACCTCATATAAGTGAACTCATATAATATTTGTCCTTTTGTGACTGGGTTATTACACTTAGCATAATGTTCTCAGTGTTAATCCATGATGTAGCATGTTTCAGAATTTCCTTTCTTTTTAAGGCCGAATAATATTCCTTTGTATGTATATACCTCATTTTGTCTATCTATTCATCTGTCAATGAACACTTGGGTTGCTTCCACCTTTTGGCTATTATGAATAATGCTCCTATAAACATAGGTGTACAAATACCTCTTTGAGTCCCTCCTTTTGATTCTTTTGGGTATATACCCAGAAGTGGAATTGCTGGATCATATGGTCATTCTACTTTTAATCTGTATTTCTTTGGTTAATGGGGTTGTAGATAATGGTAACAGTGTGAGTATCCCTGAAAATAAATTTGTTCTGTGTTTTAACTTGAAATCACATTTCCTACCAGAGGTAGAAAAACACTGCCTGATGAGAGTGTCAGTGATCCTACGGGAATTCTTGAAGCCATTGTTAATTCTTGTATTAATATATGACAGTGGCTACTTAGTATCTTAATTTTGGCTCAAAATTTAAGAGAGATGAATAGAGAAACAACTTTCAAAATGTTAACTAGTTTTAAAATTTTTAATAGAGCATGGGTATTATAGTTGATGGAGGTTTTTTCTTTTTCTGGTGAGGAAGATTGGCCCTGAGCTAATATCTTTTGCCAATTTTCCTATTTTTTTTCCTCCCCAAAGCCCCAGTACATAGTTGTATATCCTAGTTGTAGGTAATTCTAGTTCTTCTGTGTGAGCCGCCACCATAGCATGGCTTGATGAGTAGTCTACAGGTCTGCGCCCAGGATCCGAACTGGTGAACCCCAGGCTGCCAAAGTGGAGCATGCAAACTTAACCACTCAACCATGGGGCTGGCCCTCAAATGGATGGAGGTTTTATATACTCTTAAATTTCCATATTTTAAAAATGAGTGTATATCTTATTATTAAAATTATAAAAAATATAAAGAGAAAGAAAGAATAGTTACAGTATTATGTTTATTAATATGTCTTTTGGTTCACAAAATAATGATTCATGCTTTAGTTCCAGAAAGCTGACTCTGATCTGGATTACATTCAATACAGGCTGGAATATGAAATCAAGACTAATCATCCTGATTCAGCAGGCGAGGTAATCTGCAAAATAAACGTCTTTTTAACAGAATATTTTTTAAAAGATTTTTCTGATAGTATTTCTAACAGTAGATTATAACAATTACATTATTAAGTACTGAATTTATAGAATCTTAACATCTTTTTGTGGTGGAAGCTTGGTCACAGCAAACTAGAGAGACTGTACCCCTAGTCAAGGAAATTTGTGGCTACTTTATTTTTAACCATTAAACAAGAATTATTGAGTCCAGAGGTACAAACCACTCTGGAAACCTCAGAAACTGAGAGAAGATAGATACCTCTAGGGTAGTGGTTGGGTAAGAGAGACATCTCTGTTTGAGTTGTTGCTTTCAGTTCTTTTGTTTATATACCCAGAAGTGGAACTGCCGGATCATAGAATTCTGTGTCAACTTTTGAGGAACTAGCTTTTTAAATACCTGTGTGGACTGAAAGAAAGAGTCTAGGTGATATTAGTGAAGGAATTTGTTCAGTAGTCAGCATGAGGAGTTCGAGCCCTGGGAAACAGTTCAGCAGAGTGCTCTGATGGAACTGCTCTGAGGTGTGTGCGTTTAAGCGCAACTTATATCTCTTTCACAAAATAGTGTACATGCAGGGAAGAGGAAAGAAAAATTTACAGCTGGATTTCATATATGTCACAAAAGGGATAGGGTACATCTGGTCTTTTCTTTAGATTACACATTAAAGGTAACGTAAGAATTCCTTGGTTACACATCAAACAAGTTCAGATGCTGATGTTATCTGTGTGTGGAGGGAGGCAAGAACCAGGTTGTTAATTATTCCCTCAATCTCTAAGAAATGCAGCTGTGGGGTAGGAGCTAGGTACCTTTCATCTTTTCCTGTAGCTGATGTCTCCAGCTGGCACCTTCAGTCATGAGGTGTGGAGTTGCAGGGTCATTTTGACACAGGCTGATGGTGGCGGGCACAGCTGCTTCACAGGACAGCATGGATTTTTTATTGTACTGATTTAAAGCCTATGCAGTTTGCTTGCTAGATTTGCCTGTTATACCAGGGAGAGGGGTCCCCCAAATCTGTCCACACCTGTAATATTTATCCAATAATTCTACTTTTTTGTATGATATTTGGGAAGAAAATCACGAACTTAATCTTTATGGATTTCACTGACATTAGTCCTAATGATTATATATGTATCAAGGAACAGGACAGTAAACAACCAGTTGCACTAATCTCTAATACCTTTACATGGTGTTAGTGGTAGTAAACATTGATTGAACATTACTATTTGCCAACCACTGTGATGTGTGTGTGTGTGTATACTCACATCCACATACGTGTAATTTTGTTTAGTTGCATTATCCTCATTCTAGTATATTGTGATTTGGAGACTGTCAGTAATTCTACATAAAAATCAACATTTTTTAATAGAATCTATTTAGAGATAAAGATATGATAAACTACAAGCTTGTATTACCATATTTTTCACCTATATTTGTTTCAGAAAGATAGTTTTGTTTTATTTTACGAGCATTTTCCCTGTAGATTCTTTTTTTTTTTTTTTTGAGGAAGATTAGCCCTGAGCTAACTCCTGCCAATACTCCTCTTTTTGCTGAGGAAGACCGGCTCTGAGCTAACATCTGTGCCCATCTTCCTCTACTTTATACATGGGACGCCTACCACAGCATGGCTTTTTGCCAAGCGGTGTCATGTCCGCAGCTGGGATCCGAACCGGTGAACCCTGGGCCACGAAGAAGCGGAACGTGGGAACTTAACTGCTGCACTTCTGGGCCGGCCCCCCCTTTGGATTCTTTTAAATTTAGTAACACAACTAATGGCACATTTCCTTTTGTTTCTTTCAAAAGACATAATTGAATTGAGCTTTTTGCTCATGTATTGGTTTTCTTTTTCCTCGTCACTAGCACTATTGGTAGCAGAGCACTTCTTGTATATTCTTATGACCTATCATATCACCCACTTATAATAAAACCGTAAAATAAACTGAAGTGTTATAGGAACAAATTAAGGTGCAGCACAGTTTACAAACACCAATAAAAGAATGCAGTGGCTCCCAAGAAGTCATTCACTCAAACAAAACAGGCTGTGTACACAACAGTTTTTTCCTCTGTGGTGTGGTGCAAAGTCCTAAAATCGTGTTAGCCTGAATTAGTTGTTGCCATATCAATTTTATTAGATCCAGTTAATGTCACAAAAACATGTAGCATGGGTAATTGCCTAACTACCCTATCCTAACTCTTAGCTCTCTGGCTGTTTATTCCTTATGTTTGATTCACCAATTCTTCCTTTTCTTGGTTTAGGAGATTATCAAGGATTAGTTCTTGCCACATTTTTTTCTATGAATTTGTATTTGGGGAATTCATCATCCTTTTGATTTATATGTACAAGTCTCAGAGCAATTCGCTACCTAACTCCATTCTAGTTACCTAAAGATCATTTATACCTGCATGATTCACTGTCACCTCATAATCTTCTTCCCTCAGACCAATTGTCCTCCCAACTTTAAAATTTTATTGTCAAATTAATTTTTATATATGATTTGAAAAGTCACAGAAGTATAAAGCTTATATTACAAATAATAATTCCTTGTTTCACGCTCTCCCACCCCCAAGAAGGCCTCCACTTTATTTCAGCATCTTCTCTTAATTACCTCTGTATTTCTAAATAGTATGCTTGTATTGCTATTTTTTCCCCCATCTGAAATATCTATTGAATTCCTGGATATAGACTGTTCTAGTTCAAATCCAAGCATTGTATGGTGATCTCAGGCAAGTCAGTTAACCTCTCTGTACTTA